TTACTGGTTTCCATAATACCAGGAATGTTACAAAGAGAAATAATTAATTCCATGAGAAACCTCTGGTGGAGAAGGGTGTACCTTGCAACCTTGGAAATGTACACTGAACAAACATTTAATGAACACCTTTTAAGTGCCAGGCCCTGAGTTCAGCACTAGAGAGACAACATGTGAGAAAAGCTCACTTTGCTCAGTTCTTTTACTCCTTGATAACAACTAACTGAAGAAACACAAAGGACACGCTGGACCGTACCGAGTGCCCACATATCCTCTCCAACGCATAGAACGCCAATATGCAATCCATCTGGTACCATTTGTAACAAGTGGTCAAATGGAGGTTTTCCTGTCCCTTGAAACCTGGGTCAAACACTCTTGAACTCCACAGGAGTCATCGATTGTCTCAGCGCCTAATCTACCCTCCTCCGTCCTGCTTTGTGATGCTGGAACAGAACCCCCTGCAGACTTTTCCCCTTGGTCGGCTAGAACAGTTTTAATCTCAGTCAACAGAGAGCACTGGAGTGACATTGCAAGAAAGCGGAGGCCGGAAGCCTTCTGCCTCTTTTATTCTGAGCTGGAGCCCAGCAGCCCTCATAGACCAGCCAGGGCCATTTCCAATCAACTCCAGTAGGCAGGTGCAGTAGCTCTGGCTACGCCGTACTCAGGCCAGACGCTTCCCGGCAGGTGGGCAGCTTCCCAACAGCTCTACAGGCGGACTCCGTGGCCGCTCTTGTGGGGGGTGGCATCAGGCCAACACACAACCCACCAGGCCACCTCTGATGGGCACTGAGGAGGGCACCTGTTGGGATGAGCTCTGCGTGTTGTACGGAAACCAATTTGACAATAAAGTTGATATTTAAAAAAAAAAAAAAGAGTAGCTCCAGGTGCTACTTCTGCGGGAGCTCTGGCCACACCCTCGGGCCACATCCCTCATTCAGTGGGTTGAATCTAGAGACCAGTTCCAGCCCCCATACACCTTCCAGCAATGACAAGCTTCTTCCAAAGACTGGCTCTGGCCTGTGCCATCCGGCCAGAGCTACCAATAGTGGTCTTTATATTTTTGTGGTAGCCAAGTCCTCTTCAAAGAGGCTAAATCTCAGCTCAACCCCTCAGGGTTGGAGGGGAGTTTTCCCAAATCCTTAGTTCCTTCTACACTGTCTAGTCTCCTTTCACTTACAGGTAGTAGCTACTTTTTGACACCTGCTACTTCCGGACCTCTTAAAGTCCTTCTTTCCTCTTTTAGCAGTCAACCTTCTTTTACCAGGTCATTCTTTATATTAAATGTCGCCTTTCAAATAACTGGTTTAAGTTTCTGTCTCCTAACTGGACCCTGACAGAGATAAATCCTACCTTTAATTTTAATCGTTAACTGTTCAAAACCATTCCAGGAATTAATATACTAGTATTAAAATGTTCATACTACTTGGGTAGCTCAGTTAAGCATGCGACTCTTGATTTCAGCTCAGGTCTTGATTTCAGGGTCATGCGTTCAAGCCCTGGGTTGGGCTTTGAGCTGGGAGTAAAGCCTACTTAAAAAAAAAACGTCCATAGTACCCAAGTGATTTACAGATTCAATGTAATCCCTATCAAAATCCCAATGGCATTCTTTACAGAAATGGAAAAAAAATGCTGAAGTTCATATAGAACTACAAAAGATTCTGAAAAGTCAAAACAATCTTGACCAAGAAGAACAAACCTGGAGGCATCACACTTACTGATTTCAAGATATACTACAATGCATAGTAATCAAAAAAAATGTGATAGTCCCAAAAAAATAGACATATGGAACAGAACAGAGCCCCAAAATAAGAATACACGATGGAAAAGGACAGTCTCTTTAACAAATGGTATTAGGAAAACTGGATATTTGTATGCAGAAAAATGAAACTGGATGCTTATCTCACATCATATATGGAAATTAACCACAGTGGATTAAAGACTTAAATGTAAGATCCCAAACAGTAGAACTACTAGAGGAAAACATAGGGAAAAACGCTTCTTGACAGTGGTCTGGGTGATGATTTTCTGGATATGTGACCAAAAGCACAGGCAACAAAAGCAAAAATTATCATGTGGGATTGCATCAAACTTGAAAAAACAAAAACAAAAAAGCTTATGCAGAGTGAGGCACCTGGGTGGCTTAGTTGGTTAAGCATCCGACTCTTGATTTTGGCTCAGGTCATGATCTCAATAATGGTCGTGAGGTTGAGACCTGCATTGGGGCTCTGCACTAACAGTGAAGAGTTTGCTTGGGATTCTCCCTCTCCCTCTGCTCCCCCCCCC